TGCATTACTTTCAGGCAGTCGGGCTCATATTCATCCCCATTTTCTTTTCATAACTCGGCATAAAACTGCACCAGTGTTCGGTCGAGGACATCGCTCTTGTACTATTCTAAATTTGCTCGGAAGTTTCGCCCACTTTTTAAAAACGTTCTTCCAGTACTCCATGCTTTTCCTTGTGTTTTTGTTTTCACTCGTCTCTTAATTCTTCGAAATATTCCTCATCAACTATCTCGAAAAGAGACACCATTGTTACAGAAAATCTTCAACAACAACTTTTCAATAGCATAAGCTGTTGCTAGGCAACCCAAGTACCAATCATGACCTAGTAATTTTGCTTTCTTCTCAAGGAAAATTAAGAAAAAATACCCTCTTCATTGACCAATCAACATTCAGTAATTTTGCCCTCTATTTTATTATATATATAAAATTAATATTCATTCAGTGACATAGCCAAATATGTTAGAAATCATTTTTTCTCTTTGAAGGCATTAGGATAACCTTCCCGAGCTCCAGTATTGTACTGACTCCTTTATCTTCTGCAAACTTTACATTTAAGGTTGATAACATTTACAGATCCTAAACCAGACATTACTGCTGAGACAGCAAAACAAAAGAAATGTGTTGAGCATGATATCTTTGGAGAACTACTTGCTGGTGGAAATAATGATGTTACAGAGACAGTGAATAAACAATCACTTACTGCTAATAAATTTATGACAGTTGTTGACATGGAAAGTGCAGTCTTATATGAACCAAATTTAAGAACATTTATGACCATCAAAGAAAATGTTGTGTGTTGCAGAGCACTGAAGCAAGGCTATTTGTTCTCTGTGTTTTGTCCAATTTCACAGCAAAATGATCTTGGTATGATGACTTATGCACCACTTCCAGTGTTCAAAGGGATGATAACAGCTGAATCTGAATTAGAAAAAGGTTCTTTGTGGAATAATGTTCCTCAGCTGTGCTGTGTTCAAGCCAGAGGCAATGTGTCATGCCTTTCATCATGTCTTACTATTGAACAGTCTTTATTTAGCAAACTTTTTCACTGTGATGCATCTCTTTTGGATACCCCAGTCATTATCTTTGCTTGTGAAGATGGGCAAGTGTTATTTTGGCCTGTAAGCAGCTTTGCTCTGACAAATGCAAACATTGAGACTAGAGTCAGTGAATGTCAATTTTCACCTCAGCTGATGTACCATTTGGAACAAAGATTGGTAGCTACATATGCAGCAAGGCTTTATTATTCAGAGGATTTATCAATATGTCCATCAACAGCAAGTGAAACAGAAGTGAGGAATTGCAAACACAAGCAGGAATCTGATGGCTGCTGCAATGCCTTGGTTTTTGTTGGAGGTTGTGACAAGATTATCATTGTATCTGAAGGAAAACATTTGTCAGACAAGTCAGAAGAAGGAAACACAATTAATTTTACAAGGCACACTATTATTGGCCCTGTTCTTTGCTCCTGCATGAGCAGCAGCCATGACACACTGATACATTCAACAGGTAAAGAAATCTTCATCACTAAGTTGAGCCTGAACTGTGAGATGAATGCAGCAAAGTCAGGAGCCACATTTTTATCTTCAAGCAAGCTGGCATCCTTGAACATGCTAACTGTGCAGGTGCCAAACGTTTCTGTGCTTTGTTGTGTAAATAAGAAAAGGAAGGGAAATGGTACAAAGACACAGGTGTATGCTCTTACTGTCTCCGGAAAACTTGTGTTGTTTTCATTGCCTGAATTGCAAGATGGAGAGCAACCGATTGCGTCTAATGTCTCATCACAAATGGTTGGTGAAAAAGTGAAGAGTTACTTACAAGAGATTGAAACTCAGACTGCAGAGCTTGTGAGAATTAATGAAAGCATAGAAAAAGCAAATAAGACTTTGAAAGAGCTTAATGAAATTATCCACATTGCCAGTCGAGTTACTGAGAAGGTAGGAGACACTACATTGCCTTTGTCTTGTAGTTTTACACCCACTGTTGTGTGCCATAGCTCTAGTGGACACAATTCGTTGTCACTGCTCTGCAAAGTTATTAACCAGGGCAATCTAATGTTGCCACCTTCCTGGTCACTTATGGTTCACATACAAGGAAAGGAACCATGGCAGAGTTGTACCCCTGTAGCAGCTTGTTCTATGGGCCGATCAATACCACTGAGAACCACTCATTCAGGGGAAGTCACAAAGATAACCATTGCTGTTGACAAGTCTTTCTCCTCATCATTTCACTTTATTGTGGAAGGCTACCTGTACTGTGATTTGAATTCCTTGCTTGCTGATCTTAGAAATGGAACTAATCAAATACATTTCTTTAAGATGCCAGTTGAGAACATTGTGATACCAGTTAGACAGAAAGTGTTTGACACACTTCATTGGGTGCAACCAACTCAATTAGGTCCACAAGTTCAAACTGATTGCACCATTCCAAACTCAAAGGAAGAGATTTTGCAAACTGTAGACAGACTTAATTCAACAATCAACAATGTGGTGTGTAAGAGTATATTTGGTCAGGATACAAAAGAGATTGCATAGGAACCCACAGAAGTTAGAAACTACTCAACAGCTTTCATTGTTTCTGAAGATGCCATAAAGTTCATGACCACAACAATAAAAAATGACCTCACTCTGAAGAAAACTTTTCAAACAGAATCTCTTTCCCCACAAGCTACCTTTTTTCACTTTATCTTCCTGGGCTCAAGCATTGCTCATCACCAAATTGATGTGGGATATTCCTGCATAAATCTGCTAAGTGTTGATGGTGGTCATGCATCCATAAAAATTAAACCTATAAGTGGAATGACAAGATCCACCAATGGTTCTCCTATGGAAGTTACATTACACTGTTCATGTGTCCCCTTGCTGTGTCGTCTACATGAATCCATGTTGACAAGATTGAAGGTAAACTTAAGGAAAGCAATGAACTTGCAAAAAGCAAACTTTCTTTAAGGAGAGTTTAATTAGACAAATTGATGGCTTTCTTTAATAATAGTAATAGAATGATAGTTACCACTATAATTATAAGAATGAGAACAAAATATTAATGATAATGACAATAATAATCTGAAACATTTTTTTAATAGCCTGTCATTACATGTGGGACCAGTAGGAATCAAATGCGAGCATATGATGTACAGAAACAGTTGGAAAAACTACAGGTAAAATTTTGTCTTCTATTATTAATGCATTAATGCACTTCCTCAGCTAGCTTGTCAATCATTATGTGAATTTGATGAGAGTGAATACAATGAAAGAAACTATGAAACAAAAAAATCGATTTACCAAATTTTGATGGCTACTTTCAGTCATAGTTCGATCGTTTTGTTTTATTTATTCCTAAGGATCTCCACAAATGTGTCATTCTGTTAGAAGATGAGATGTCGATGGGGACAGATAAACGTGAATCAATCGCCGTCAAGAGGACACTGTGGGCTCTGTATGAGAAAGTGAGAGGAGTTATCCTCATGATATGATATTTGTTTGTGGTAAGATTTAAAGAGAAAGCTACGTGTGTTTTCTGTCATTCAGTAAATGTAAAAACAATTTGGAATCATTGTTGAAACAAGTAGTAAGATGATCTTCACTGTTTCATTTAGTTGACAAGTTGGAAGCACCTGGTGTGTACTGAAGGACTTAAAAAAAAATCAAAATTTGGATTGTTTTGTTGCTTTACTCTCCATCCTTATATTTGGCCAGTTCTTCTTTAACTAATTCGCATTTTGTCCTGCGTGCGAAACACGCACGAACAATGAACAAATGTTTTAGTATTCCTTGTCTTGGTTTGATGGGTGTTTGATGGATGAAATTTATTCTTTTTACTTAATAACAAATACAAAGTATTCAAAACTACGAAATATGCTATCAGACTTATCATGTGCATACTTTGCAGAGAAATTTGAAATCATCAAATGAAATTCAAGTTCTAGACATTTCGAAACACTAAAACTGTTTTTCAAAATTTCCTACGACAGGATCATTTTCCGAAACATTTGTAAACACTAAATGATGCTTAGATAGCTGGTGTTAAATGTGTAAATATTCATTAGGTCCTAAGTGTTTTTCACAGCAAAGTTAGAAATTCTTCAACACTGCTTAAAACAATTAGGTGATATTAACAGTGGATCTTCTTTATTTTTTGAGAAGTTCGATTTTGTGCAGAGGTTATAAAATTCTCAAATCAGTTCGCAGTGCGCGAGTGTCCGTGCATTAGTGAAACAGTTATTTACCTGATATTGATATTGATATTGATATTACTTGATATTGATATTAGTTGATATTGATATTGATATTGTTTCTTGATATTGTTCAGTTATCAGTTCATGATCGTGTCAGGTCATGGAGCTTGTAATTATAACACTGAATGGTGTGCCTAAAAAAAACGAAGAAAAAAATCGCGTTTAGCATTAGATGCCTATAACCTTTTACAGCCTTCTGGACAGAAAAATTCAAACAGGGGAGCGAAGCGTAGAGTGCCTCTTTGAATTCTGAAAACCATCGAATGTTAGATGGTGGAGGAACTGTTGGCCGGATTCAGTCTGTAAGACTAAACAGCTATATATCCGCTGTATCTCTATCTTGCTGTGTCTATTTTCACTCGTATTTACCAGCTAAACAGCACATCAATTGATAATATAAATCTGTCCTGTTGTCTCACGACAAAGTTAATGAA